TCTGCATCTTAATCAGTACATGAGATAATTTTCAGTAGGTCTGAAAACTCAAAAGGTCTTTGTCAGATACTATGTTTACTCAGAGTTCTTAGTGCGCCTTGTGCTTAGTCAGGTCAAGGGGCTGGAGAAATGGCAGCAGAGAGTGAAGAGAATTTTGCTCAAGATGAAAGAGCAAGTTGCTAGAATACAAAGCAGTTTTTCAATATACGTTTAAAATAAGTGCCTGAGTTTGCATTCTAAAGTGACAAAAACCTTACTCTTTTAAAACAGAAATGGGTTGTCATTTACAATCTGGGACAGGTGGACAGTTTATGGGAAAGAGGATTTTACTCTGTTGGACTTCATAAATGCTGTCAGAGTAAGTTATCCACTGTAATGGTTTAATACAAGGTGAGAGGGCAGGGTTTTCTTGGTCTGGGTTGTTGGTTTGGGGTTTTTGGTTGTGGTTTGGGTTTATTTCTTTTATTTTTTAGTTTTATCAAGAGTCAGAGTAATTCTAGAAAGTACTTACGTCAATGGGAATGTCTTTTAGTAAACATGTCCAAACCTATTTTAAGATTTTTAATTCGACTGGCTCAAATATATCTTAATAAAACTTCTGTCAATATGTATGCATTAGCAAGCTTTCTGGTTGGGATTTTATGGCCTTGAATACTTAGCTGTAGTATTAGCAGTAGTAGTATCTGCTGGCTTGTGCAGCTGTCCTAGTCCTCTAATAAGCTTAATTTGTGAATTCCAGGAGAAATATGGAATTGAACCAACTATGGTTGTACAGGGAGTCAAAATGCTGTATGTTCCTGTGATGCCAGGTCATATTAAAAGATTAAAGCTGACGTAAGTACAACTGGAAAATGGATTGAGGGATGCAATTGCATGTACACATTGCGTTCACTGGTTGTATCATAAAGACTTGTACCTGACAGTAGTGTTTTCTGTCAAAGTGGTTGCTAGTCATTAATATTTGGGAAAGAGGTAATTTCTTCCTTTGTTTCTTTTTGGTGGGGGAAAGACGAAAGAGAAAGTGAATTAACTTCTGTAGTGAGGACAGGAGACTTGCAAAACGCTACTGTAACTGACGAATGCTAGATTGAGAAAGCCAAAGAAGTCTGACAGTAAGTTGGGTATTTTGAGGGGTGGAGGGTGAAGAAAGTAACTTGATTCAAGATGAACAAGACTAAGAAAACCTTTTAAACTGGCTTAAAAACTAATGGTGATATTCAGCAACTAACCTCAAAGAACAGGAACACTTACTTAGGAAGGAGTTAATGTATTGGTTGCAGACAGAGTTTCTGGAAGTCTGTTCAGCTCATAGTAATTCCTTGAGATTCTAGCTCACTTTAGCCGTTTTAAAAATGAAGGCTTTACACAAGGCTTTACAGTGCCACTTACTGACAGAAAATTGGAGTCTAAAGACTCTTAAGTTTGTGAGGGTGTGAGAGCAGAGCATTAGTTTTGACTGATAAGCCTTTGCAAAGTAACAGCTAGATCTCACCTAGGTTTTGTTCTGCCTTATATGTTGATTGAACTGTTTTGGGTCAAAATTTGTTCCTCACAGCAGCTGTGAACTGTATGCAGGAAAGGGTTCACAGGCTTTGCTAGAGCAAGTACATGAGTACCATTCTGAAGGTCTGCCAGGAGGTAGTGCCAGGCAAAGTAGTATATGCTATGGACAAGCTACTTCCAACTTCCAGGGAGAGAATATCCTCTAGGATGGTCCTGCCTTTAGAATGCCTGGCACATTCTAATAATAATTCACATAAATGTGAATGTATACCCTATCTCAAGGTAAGTTGCTTATATTCCCTCTCTGACAGCTGTAGAAATTATTTTGAGTGGTTTGTGTAATGAAGTCAAAGGCAAGGTGTGAAGCTGGCTTCTTACGAATGTCAGGATTTGTAACTCTGAGACCCTGTTCAAGCTTTCCATGTAGTTACAGCAGCTTGGTGTTCTGTTACAAACAGTTCCAAAAGCTTTATAAGGTATTTGTACAGCAAACTTTGGTCTTGCTTGTGTGTTTTTAAATCTTTCTCTCGCTGTAATATGATAAGCAGTGCAAGACTCTTGTCTTAATTTCACAGTTACAGCATTGACTGGTAGCATACTCCTTAAAAGTAAATTTTAGAGACATAGTTACCTGACTTCCTCATGCGAATGGGAAAGATCTCAGTATCTCTGCTAAGAAGAGGCTAATGCTTTGTGTTCTTGCAAGGGAAAAAGTACATAGGGAGAAGCAGCTTTTTGGCCTGCGTGCTAAAGCATAGCCAGATGTGAAATCCTTCTGTAAATGACCTGTGAGGAACGGAAATGACTGTATTCCCCCAACCTCTTAGCATTCGAGCTCATGAACTAGTGCTCCAAGTTGTCAAGAAAATAATTTTGAGACATCCAAATATACGTAGTGAAAGTGAGGTTGGTTGACTTTCTATCTAGTGTCTGCACTGGAGTGGTTCTTCTTAATAACATAGTAAGAACAGCCGTTATTGGTAGACTGAGAACTTGTACTCCTCCTCATTGACCAGAATCCTGCACAGAAAGCTAGATTTGCTTTGTGTTTCAGTAGTATGCCAAAGAGCAGTTCTGTTGGTGAAGAATCCCATCCAAAACTGGCCATCTTCTCTTTGTTGTACTGAGCACTTGTTAATGAACAGTGTAATAGCCCACTAACAGGCTATGTCTGTCATGAAAGTGGAATACCATTTGCTGTACCTCAGGTGGAAGACCAGCTTTTGTATCAAAATTAAAAGGCAGCTTATACTCCATTTTAATCTGATTTCTAGAATGTCGGGCTTCATTGCTGGTAGTGAAATTCATCCTAACCTGGCCCTGAATTCCCACTACCAGTCCTCCTTCTGATATGTTATCAAACTGTCCTTCATTTCCTTTTAGGATGCAAAAGCTTGTGAAACCATCAGCTGACAAGAAGTACGTGGATTTGACAGTGTCATTTGCTCCAGAGACCGATGGAGAGGAAGACTTGCCAGGGCCACCAGTGAGATACTACTTTGTTCAGGAAGACAATTGATGGTAGAGACAGAAGTCACTCCTGGACCATTTGTTCTGAAAGGAGTGTGCTAATTTTCGGCTATTAAAGATGGTACTATATATTTCTTTTTGGTGAAGCCTTAATTAAAACAAATGGTGAAAATCAGTGGCTTTGCACTGAAGACAAACTGGATTTATGTTTCATCTGCTCCTGTTTTCTTCAAACCTGTTTGCTCAAAGAAGGATTGGTCACTCCATGAGGTGGAATGTCCAGTACAGTCCTTACCTTAAAGACAAGATTTGTATTGATTTGTGGGGAGCTGAAGAAAGCAAGAAGAAGGGTCAACCTAACAAATGGTTTCCCTGTGTAAATTAGGTGCTGCTTAGAGAAGAGTGCAGAAAATGGGGAGACTGCCATTTTATGATACTTCTGGTGTTCAAAGAACATCTCAAATCCATCTCATGTTATTTAGTTCTCAAAAAAAAATTTGTTCTTGCCATCTACATGTGAGATTTAATCTATCCAAAAGGTTTGAACTCCCACTTAAAAGCAGACGAGTTGGTTTTATTGTGCTGTTGGTGCTGTCCTCTGAGCAGTTAGTGATGCTGAGTGTCAGGACAGCTACCTTATGTCAGTCTCAACATGGAAGCATAGGGACGCAGATAAGTGACTTCATGAGAGCTGTGTCCATTTACACCTGCTCAGGAGAGCTGGAACTGTTGTTACCTGCACTATGATTGTTTTCTGCAGAATACTGCAATATGGGGAAGGTGAAAATGCATTGGAGAGCTGAGTTAACACTTTCAACATTAAAACTTTGTCTTCAGGAAAGAGAAGATGGTTGATGGTTGTAGTCAGCTGAACCCAGAACAATGTGGTTGAGCCCTTCTGGCCTCACCAAATTAAAAACTCTGTAGCAAATGAGTTTGAAAAGGCAAAGGGCTCTGGAAGTTTGTCATAGGAAACACTATTTCCTCAGCTGCTTCTTTTGGTACCGCTCCCTTCTAGCACAGTTGTGCTGTACACCTGTTCACAGCACATGTCTGAGTTGCACTGAATACTGAGGCTTTTATCAGTCAGTTACTAGGATATCCAAGTATAAAGAAACTGCTAAATCAGAAATAATTAAGGATGAGCTTTGCTGCTGTGATGAGGCAGAAGTGCGTTGGAGAAGCATCTGTGACACCATCTTATGTTCCCTACCATTTGAACACTGGACAGTTGAACTGGTAGTTCTGTTTTTTGAGGGTTTTTTTGGTGAGTTTTTTTTTTCTTTTTTTTTTCCCAATGATAATAGAATGAGGTTAGAATAAAACTATGAATGGAAAATCTTTTAATGTATTTTAAGCTTTTGAGATTGTGATCGTGAATTATCTCCAGCAGCTGTTGCAAAAGCTACTGACTACTTATTTATTAGCTATAGCTAATAGCTACTAGCTATTTATTCTCGATTGTAAGTTATTAAGCTTTAGGGATATCTTCACATTAAGATTAGTGAACATTGGTCAGGAATTTTACCTCTCCTTTTTTCCCTTCTCAGATGTAGTCAAGAATAACAGCTGTTAGGCTAGGAACTTGAACATCAAGACATATGAACTGGATAGATAGAGTCAACACAATTATTCCAATATTTGGGATTTAGTCTTACATGCAGAATACCTTCTGGAAGGTGTATATAGTTTTACAGTCAGTCTAAGTTTATAGATATAATTTTTTAGATTAATAATAGTGCTTTTTGAGATACCTAAATGATTTTTTTTTCCAAGAGCTTTGTTTAGAGAAACTTTTTGAAACAGGAGAAAAGGCAGTTTAGAGTGCAGAGGAGGCACAAGCAGACAGCATGATTCTACTTCTAAATAACTAAAATGTATTTCACTGTGGCAGTATAAGAATCTGAACTCAACTGAAATCACTAATTACTGCTAAGAATCACTTAAAGATTTAAGTCAAGTCGAAAGCACTGGCAGCTCTCACAGCTGGGAGACTGGCAAACAAAACCGTGAGTAAGTAGACTTTAGTGTGGTGTTAACATCATGCTTAGCTTTTGAAGTAAGTAGCATATACAAATAATAAAGTCTCAGTGCTTTGTTAGAATACCATCTGATAGTCCTCAGGGTTTAAAGTAAATTTTCAGATGTAATTAATGGCTTTGATTAATGACAATGTGTGAGACCCTTGCCAAAAAGTCCAGGTTGAGGTTGGAAGGGATTGCAGCCAGAATTTACGGGCATAGCTGTATCTCTGTGCTGTTCTTACTGTGTGTCTTTGTTGGATGGATGTCTGTTCTATGGATGGGTTCTGCTAAGTTAAAACAGTTGCTGACAGAAAAACTGAACATGCACAATTGCTCTAGGTATTTATTAGCAGACCTTTGAAAGTTTCTGGCTATAAGTTAACCCAGGTAAAATCTTACAAGTAATAACCTAAAGAGGACTTCACATGGAAGAACTGTGCATGTCAAGTGGCTCATTAAAGTTGTTTTTCATGTTTTAAAACTTTCTGAATTGCTGATATGCATAGTGGATGCGAGATGTATATTGAGAATGTGGATGTGCACTGGAGTGGATCAATTCAGGGTGAATTTGGGTTTGATACAGCCCATTTCTCAGTCTGCTGCTGCTTTTTATCAAAAGTCTCAGCAGGTGCTCAGCATGATCACACTAAAAGGGCTCACTCAGTCGCCCTGGGCAAGTGAATTTCAGCATGGTGGTCTTCAGATCTCCAGTGTTGTCACTACCAATGGTGGCAGTGCAGAGGCTTGTAGCACTACCTGGAGTCTGGGAGCTTCTTTCTTTTTTTTTTAGTTTTCCTCTGTTAGTGAAAGCATCTGTGCATTTGCGACTGTTTGATGCTGTGTTTCAGCTACAGCTAGCCATCTCCCTGCAGCAGTGAAGCCATTCCACTAGAACACTTTGAATAGCTTTCCTTCCAAATGTTATTAGCTGAAAGAGCAGCTGACTTGCAGAGATTAAGTTTTATTACCAGTATTAAAGCTTTTTCTCACTCAAATGCTTTCTTACAGAATTTGTTCATATTTTTACAGAATCATAGAATCAGTAGGGTTGGAAGGGACTTCTGGTGATCATCTGCTCATCTGCTCCAACCCCTGAGCAGGTTACACAGGAACATGTCCAGGTGGGTTTTGAATGATTCCAGAGAGGGAAATTCCATGACATCCCTGAGCAGCCTGTTCCAGTGCTCTACCACCCTCAGTGTAAAGAAGTTCATCCTCATGTTGAGGTGGAACTTCTTGTGCTTTAGCAGCTATCCAAGAATAATGACTAATGACTACATAGAACAACTCTGGCACCAGCTGGGCCTCTGAATGCAGAAACTCTGTCACCTCATCATCGCACCTCACATCCTGAAATAATGTGGGTTTCAACTAGAGAGCGTGTTTGTATATGTCTGACTTGTATCAAATAAGTAAGGGCTTTAGGTAAGTTCATGTTGTTTTTAGCATGTGTTTGAAACAATCTAGCTGTAGGCCAGTTGTTTGAAGAAAGGAACCAAATTTCAGTTAAATGCAACTGATTTACTAGCTTAAAAGGTTTATCAATCCCCATTAAGCGTTTTGCAGTTACTGAAAGCATGCTCTGCTGCAGCACAGTGCAGCGATCGAAACCTTTGTCCAAACGTTGATAAGTTTTGACCAGATAGCTTTTCAGAGTTTATTTTAGTAAACACATATTTTCATATATTTTCTGTGGTCGATGAAGTAGCGAGTGTATTTATTCATGCTGCAGAAAGCTTACTGAAGCTCAAGCTGAAAGGTGTCAGGAGGTACAACACAGATACAGCAGCAGAAGTATCATGCTAATAAGTCCATCATTTTGCATGTCAGAAGTGAGACGTGGTGAAGAAGTTAATTTCCCCACTTCTCACAGCAACACACAAGTTTCAGTTTCATACTGAGAAAGACTGCAAATCTAACCTGAGGCATACTAAACAGCACCATGTTCACAAAATAAGCTTCAGTATTTTCATGAAAAGAAAGTGCTAATGCCTCATGTTGTACTTCTAAAATACAGTGGGTGTGCCTGTATGGTCACACACAGTATACTATTCGGAAGCACATGGGCATTCTTTTAAAATAACCTTCCCAAGCCTTGACTGCCTGCCACCCATACTAATTCGTGATTCTCATCTGGTATCACAGAAACATGACAACCAGCCTTGGTCTAGAAATAAGACTCTCCCTAGAGCACACCCTGTGTGGGTGGTGAAGGTGCTAGCTGCTTCTGTACCTATGTTATAGCTGCCTTCAGCTGAGCTGTGTGAATGCTCCCCACCACTGCCAGAGGTGCACAGTTTGGTTTTTTTTAAAGAAAAAAGCCAGGCTCTGGAGCTAGTCATCACTAACTGTGAAGGAGTGTAGTTCAGCAGGGGGTACCCATCCTGTAACCACTTCACTCAGGACAGAGCTTGGAGGCTAAAAATACTATATTTGGATCTTACTGCTTATCACTTAAGCTGCATGTTTTGAAGGCTGATCCTGGTTTCCAAGATGGATGCTGTGCCTAACACAGCAGTTAGGTATGACCAGCAGGTTTCTCATGCTGTGCTGCCTTTCCTCATTCAGTTGTGCAATCTTGTCTTTCTGCGCTCACTGGGGCTCATCTCAGTCCCTGGAGAAGGTAGTTCAGAAAGCTTAACAGGGATGCCAAGTTACTTTTGGTTAGTTTCCTGAAGCAGCTCTTGGCAGGGTCTGATGAACGGCCCTGCTGGCATGTAGGAGGGGTGGGAATGTTCAGCTGGGCAGACGGTAACTCAGTTTGCTTGAATTTATGCCCTTGCTCAGTCGCATAACCTGGAAAATGCCCCAGCTGCCTTACTTGGCATGGTCCTGGTATTTTAAAGGTTGCCTGGCCTTTCAGAGAAACAGGGACCCCCAGTTTCAGTTTCTCAGACTTGTATTTTCTGGGTTTTGGTCTGTGTTGGACTTCGCTGACAGTGCTCAAAGCCCCAGCAGAGGTGAGGCATCCATGCTGTCTCTTTGGGATGCCTGTTACAGGTGAGTAGACAAGAAATGATTTTTTTTAACACAAAATTTATTGCACTGTGATGCAGCAACAGAATTGAGTCCACAAATACTGCCTAATTTCAGTACAGTATTTTTTCCATAACATTTTGCAGGCACAGTGTGTCCTCTCTCTGCCATTCTTGTCCTTTCTTCTTTTTCTCTGCTGTGTGCTTCTCTACCTACAGAGATGTGAGTATAGGTATGGTAAAACTAACCTTGCAACCCTAAGTACAGGGCTTGTCATTGATAGCGGAATAGACTCCACAACTTGGTTAAAGTTGTAAAGTAGGTATGCTTTATTCAGCTGAAGACGCACGGGGGATTGGTCCTCCAAAAGGCATGCGTGCCTCAGTGCCGTTTTCCTTTTACATTTATCCTGTAAAGTCATACATAGGTATTAGGTCGCACAATACGCCTATACATATTCATATTCTATCCCCGCTTTGTATTATAATGAGCTAAAAGGCTCTCCACGCATGCGCAGTGCCTCCTGGTGGTCTTGGGCAGGGGTCTTCAGATGAAGTAAGTAGTCTTCCTCTTGTGGGTAGGGGTCTTCAAGATGAAGTAAACGAGTCTTCCTCAGGCTTGAACTTTTTACCTCTGGTCCTCACGCATGCTCTTTAGGAGCTGGATGGGTCTGGTCCATGTCTAGCTGGTTTAATGAGCTATTCCCTTCGCTAGGAAGCCTTATCTTAGTGCTGTCTGATAAGGCAACTGCTGGGCTTGTCAAGCCAGCCATGATTTAAGCAGTACTCCTTGTACAACCCCCATTATCCTCACTAGGAGGTTTTGTTCTGGTATTTGTCTGATAAGACATCTGCTGAGCTCGTTAAACCAGCTATGACTTAAGCAGTACCCCCCTGTACATTTTGACAACCCCCCTGTACATTTTGACAACCCCCCTGTACATTTTGACAACCCCCTTGTACACAATAGGCCACATCAGTTTCAATTCCCCCCTTTTCTATAACATAAGTAAATTCTTTTACTTAAGAGATACCCAGGTGCCTTCAATAGATTTGCGAAACATATTCAAGACACATTGGATTAAGCATGGAATTGTCATTAAGACTAAGAGAACTACAGCCAGAATCCAAACCTCTTGTTTGATTAACTCCTTAATCCACCCTGTAATCCCAAACCCATTCAACCAATCATCCAACCCTCCATCAACTTGCAATTTCTTTAGCTGTTGTGCTGTCCAACATGCGAGGCGATGGATATCTGCCAATGCTTTTCCAGCTGCTACGTTTAGTAAAAGCAGTGCAGCAAAGAATCGCTTTGTATGGCCCCAAATCTTTAATGTGGGGTCACATTTAGGGCCTAATTGGTTAATAGATCTTTTATTCCTATGAAGGTCTTCTCGTAGGGTTTGGATTGTATGTTTTTTGGAAGCTGCAAACAAGGACAATTTTCCTAAATAGCATGGTCCCCCCTGCGGCTTAGAGGGTATTCCTGGCCATGCACGGTCTCCGCATATTAAGAAGTAACCTGGGGGTAGTGCCTTAGGGGTGATACCATCATATGGGAGTGAAGGAGAAGACCCAAGACAATATGAGGTAACATTATGATACCAATCTTTCCTACTAGTCACTTTAGTTTCTGGAGTTTCATCTGACCAAGAATTGAATGTTATACAGCTCTGATTACTTTGGTCAGACCCCAGAAGTCGGAGTTCCTGAATTGGGATGGTTGAACGATTTAGTCCTTTTATAATTCCTCTTGTCTGAACAGATGCAACTGTCCAATCGCCTGAAGTTCTCTTAAATACTCTGGTTACTATTGTAAGCTTCAAGACTGAATCATTCTTCACCCATCCATACTTAGATAAGGAACTCCGATTACACACGTTTGGAATGGGTTGCCTACTTGTGTGAGTGATAAACAAAAATCAGTATCACCAGTTCTATTTGCCCAAGTAAGCTAAACATTTGTCTCTACCTAATAATGGTAACATTTTGTCAAGACTTTGTGTGACCCCTAGAATCACAGTTAATCCTGTAACTATTTTCATCATTCTTCGACCTCTCGCTGGTTATAATTGCAAACAAGAGAGAAGTATTAAAGCTTTAAACAAGAAGGTTAAAAATATCATCAACACAGTCTTATCAATTTGCAGTGTTACTTGTTACGAATTAGCTTTAGTTTCAGTTCATTTTCAGTTTGGATCGCTCTCCAGGGTGTCTTCGGAGCTTTCTTAACTCCAGTATGATGAATCCAGGCGTTCTGTTCCTTAATCTTGATAGCTGTGAATGTAGTTAACAACACCTGGAATGTCCCTTTCCATCTTGGCTCGAGATCATCATCTCCTGTAGGTTTGAAAGACTTTACATACACATAATCTCCAGGCTGTATATTGTGTACCGAGCTGTCCAACCCTCTGCTTCGAGTTCCAGCCACATGTTTTTCAATTCTAGTAAGCTGCTTTCCTAACTCTATTATATAGGTGTTCATGGTTTCTTCTCCCGCTTGGGGAG